AAGATAGATGTTAATTGTGATGATGAAACATGTTATTGCACGGTGTGGTGCATAGCAGGTTTGACATTCTTGGTTTTACCTTGGACTGCAGCCTTGTGTGAACCCAGGGGCGTCACAGTTGGTATCAGAGCTCTAGTTCCAGTATCCTTAGGATCATCCTGTGTCGAGTCGTGGAGCTAGGATAGAGTTTCTTAGGATTCATGTATAGGGTCCGATAAGAATTTCCTAGTATGAGTGAGGACGATATATGCGTATATCTCAAAATTTGAAATTTTTTTTTTATGACAACTATTTTGTATAAACTTAAAGTATTTGTGCAAATACTATATGTAGTGAAAATTTGTATTGTGATACGCTATTTATAGAGGTCTATTTTGACTCCTAAACTCTTATTTTCTTTTGAGCAGAGATGTCAGAATATGATATGTCACGTACTCAGAGATCTGGACAGGCTGAACCACAGCAAAATCCACCTGAGCCGTAGCAGGCTCCCCAGTACCTGGTAGATCTTATAGCTCCCCTAGTCGCTAGGATAGCAGCAATCGAGGAGCTTGTGGCGAATCACATTACACCACCACCACCAGTAGCCGAAACCGCCATTTCTCAAGAAAATGAGACAGCTAAGTTTCAGAAGGGCAAGGAAGGGAGTGCTGAGAGAGGGCACGTCGGAGGCAAGGGTAAGAACAAGAGACCCTTATATCGACCTCAGCAGCAGCAGCAGAGCCCTCATAAGAAGGGATCCCAACAGGATCAGAGAGAAAGTCAGCAGCATAAATTCCGGGGATCTTGTTTTAATTGTCGCAAGGTCGGACACAAGGCATTAGAGTGCCGCAGTGCACCAACAAGAGCTCAGAAGGGAAATGGTCCAACTCAGCAGCAACGGAAGACTGAAGGACAGGTTCTAGCAGTTCAGGAGGTTTCCCAGGGGCAGATTGTCCCATATTCTCCAGCACCAGTGATAGAGTAGTCTTTAGCCACCAGCAGAGTATATGCAGTAGTTCCGCATGATCATGAAGCTAATGGAGCAGTTTTGGAGGGTACGTTCTTTGTGAATTCCTTTCCCACCCGTATTCTTTTCGATTCGGGATCTTCGCATTCCTTCATATCGCATGCATTTATTTTAGGTGAGGTATCGCTTCTGGAGAGCGTTTGTAGGAGGTGTACCGTCAGTTTAGACGAGTCGGAGTTCATAGTGGATTTGATAGTGTTGCATATGTCCGAGTTCGATATTATCCTTGGTATGGATTGGTTGTCTTCCTACCATGTTAGCATTGACTGCTTTGCGAAGACAGTTAAGTTGCGAGCGTCCGACGGGTCCGAGATGATTGTAGCTACCTCTTAGGGCAACCGACTTGCGGAGTCATTTCTGGCGTACATCGAGGAGGTGATGCGACGGGATCAGGGAGCTGAGTTATTAGAGACTAGAGTTGTCTCAGAGTATCAGGATGTCTTTCAGGACATACCTGGATTACCTCCAGTGAGAGAGGTGGGATATCCCGCGCACCCTATCGCATGGCGCCAGCTGAGATGAGGGAGCTTCAGACCCAGTTGGATGAGTTGTTAGCTCAGGGTTTTATTCGCCGGAGTCATTCTCCGTGAGGCGCGCCGGTCCTCTTCGTGAAGAAGAAGGACGATAGTATGAGATTATGCATAGATTATAGAGAATTGAACAAGGTCACTATCCGGAATAGGTACCCACTACCTAGGATTGATGACTTGTTTGACCAGTTGTAGGGTGCGCAGTATTTCTCAAAGATTGATCTTCGTTCGGGCTATCATTTGTTGCGGGGCTATCATTAGTTGCGGGTTAGGGAGATTGATATTCCCAAGACCGCCTTTCTTACTCGATATAGTTCTCTCGAGTTCTTGGTCATGCCATTCGGATTGACCAATGCACCCGCGGTATTCATAGACTTGATAAACCGGGTTTTCCGTCCCTTCTTGGATCAGTTTGTGATCGTCTTCATCGAAGATATACTCATTTACTCGGAGTCGGAGGCGGATCACGAGGAGCATCTGCGGATAGCATTGAGGACTCCTCAGGAGCATCAGCTATATGCTAAGTTCAGCAAGTGCGAGTTTTGACTTTCAGAAGTCAGATTTCTTGGTCATGTCATCAGTCGAGAGGGTATAGCAGTGGACCCGGCTAAGGTCACGGCAGTTCTTGATTGGGAGCCAACGAAGACGGTGACAGAGATTCGCACGTGCAGCCATCTTGGAGTGACAGAGTTGTCAGAACTCAGTTGGAAAACTATTGAATTCAAATCCAGAAGGAGGAAATTTCCAAAGCGCCTAAGACTGATTGGGCCGTTGGAGCAGATGGAAGTCTACGGATGAAGGATAGACTGGTTATGCCAACCAGTGCAGAGCTTAAGAGGGAGTTGCTAAATGAAGCACATCGTACTCAGTTCATAGTACATCCAGTGACCCCTAAGATGTACAAGGACCTAAAGAGACACCTTTGGATGGAGTGTTATGCGTAGGAAGATTTCAAAGTATGTAGCTAAGTATCTTACCTGTCAATGAGTAAAGGCGGAACACCAGAGACCAGTAGGATCACGTCAGCTTTTAACCATTCCGGAGTAGAAGTGGGCGGA